AGTAATGATGTCATTACATTACATGTCATTTGTTAGACGCTTTTATCCAAAGCGACTTACATACATTCAGTACTGTGGACAATCCCCAGAGGAGCAATTTGGGGTGAAGTGTGTTGCCCAGGGACACAACCACATGACACTGACTGCAGTGGGACTCAAACTTGCTATCCCCTGATTCGAAGTCCAGCACACTATCCACTGAGCCACAGCCTCCCTGTAATAACCAGTGATCAGCTGATGCCCATTAGTAATGCCCGGATTGTTTTGTTCTGCATTCATAACTAAAGCTCTAAAGCGCTGCAGTGTAAGGTAGAAACTGAATCTGAGCTTACGTTTGTTTGTTCATGTTGAAGATAAGAGAATGCTTACAACTCCTTTTCAAAGACACACTGACACTGCCCTACAAAAATAATTGGCGAGTATAGGTAGTTGAAATGTCTCAACGACAGATATATTACATTACATTACATTGCATTTAGCTGACGCTTTTGTCCAAAGCGACTTACAATAAGTACATTCGACCAGGAAGACACAACCTTGAAGAAAACAGAATCATATAAGTACATCAGGTTTCATAGAGCCAAACATTTCAAGTGCTACTCAACTGGCTTTAGGTAAGCCAGTCCTTTATTAGTATAAAAGTGCTTCGTTAATCGTTCTAACGCTCGAAGTGGAGTCGAAAGAGATGAGTTTTCAGTTTGCGATATACTGCGAACAATTACAGTTTCCCCCTCATTAGTACGAGTTTAGCTTTTTATATTGGTTGACCATCAATAATGCAATGTGTCATGTTACAAGTAAACCAGTTGGCACCAAGAAAAGGATCTTCATAACCAGTCTGACTGAATGGAACTATGTTTATCGTTTTATTCTTTTAGTGAACAATCTGAGTTGGTAAAGTTTCCCCAGGAGCTGGTGTTTGATTTCTAACCTTGATTCTGTACTGCTGCTGAAAGATTCAATAGTATATATTTGGCAAGAATTAAATCTGAGTTTTCTGCACGTTTCCACCACACAGCTGCTTCTTCTGCATCGAGGTCTGAAGCTAATGGAGTTCTCCATGTGGCTGATCTGATTTGAACTGGATTGTCAAGCTCACTCAGCTAGTTAGGCTAAACTGATAGTGACTGATACTGCTCCTGACTTAAACACCTTATACACACACCTTTACAAACGGCAGCAGGTGCACTGGTCTTTGAAGTGTTGGTTCTACTTCCACACCTGGAATTAGACGCGCTTACACATTTCTCACACTTTATTTGTTTTTGTCGTCCAGTAATGCCCAGAATAATTGTGGATTTTTGCACACATTTGCCTAAGATAGCAGGAGCAGGCGTGCACATTATGCTTGGTTTAGGCCAACACTCACAGTGCCACGTGCAGTTCAGCAGCAGTATGTGTCTTTTACCCACACACATGCATGCGCCAGGTCGTGACTGGCGACCAGACGGGCAGCTCAGACTTGCTGCTGCAGGAACGAGTGGGAGGAGAGGAGAGGAATGTGAGAGATTGAGAGAGATGATGTACGACCTGCGCACAGATCCATTTGAACTAGAGAAAGAAACAAATAGGTTATGAATATGTATGAGTCATGAAGACAGAGTGAGTTTCCATGAAAACTGCAGTAGGAGAGAGTCAGCTGGTGTACTTAATGTTCAGGTCGGTTAAGAGTGCTTTATTAGCATGATAGTAGAAATGTAGGCATTTTAGGCCACATCATATTGAGGGAAAGCGAAGGTAACACCTTTCATTTAACCAATGTGTGTATTTCACACTGCCATGTAGTTCCCTCTGTATGTGATGACAAATATTGACCACTCATTTGACAGTATGTCTTCATTGTTAGCAGCATTTTAGTGCATAAACTTCTTGAACTGGGATTTTTGTGTTTCCAAACAAATCCTTGAAAAAGTAAAAGTGAAGTTCCTATTCAAGGTATTGTGTTCTCTGCTGTCAGCCAAAACAGAAGTGAAACAGTGAGGTGGTGTTCAGACAGACGGTGTTATGGGACGACGCTGGTGTGCATCACTGTGCCGTACAGTAAGCAGCATTGTGCTGATGTGAGTCGGGACATAAAGACTGGCCTTGTTGGGAGCAGAGCCGTCTCCTGTTAATGTACAACGATTCCTGTATCTTTTATTTGATTAATAGGCATGAATCCTGAACCAGTTGCTGTGGTTCCTAAACGTTTCCACTTTGCAATAATACCACTTCCAGTTGATCGTGGAATATCTAGGAGAGAAGACATTTCACGAACTGACTTGTGGCATCATATTACAGAACCACGTTCGAAATCAGTGAGCTCTTTAGAACGACACATTCTTTCACACATGTTTGTAAAGGCAGACTGCATGGCTAGGTGCTTGCTTTTATACACCTGAGGCTATGGGACCTGAATTCAATGATTACGAGGAGTGTCCCAAACCGTTTGTCTATATAGTGTATTTATATTTAGATCAAATCAAACTTTATTGTATGCAGCCCAATTTAAAATATGAAACATTTGTCTCAGCGGGCTTTACAATCTGTACCGTATATGACTCCCACTGTCCTTGCATACCCTGCCAGCGGACAGGGGAAAAACTCCCTACAAAATGTTGTACACAAACGTATCGGTTTGTCAAAATATGCCTCCCGCATTCTCTGACTGTCTGCACGAGAACTGAAAAGCTATTTCACATCTCTGGAATGTGGTTAGACAACCCTTCTGCAGCAGCACATCTTCTTTTAAACAGCTCTGTCACCTAATTACACTATTCAAGCTGTTTATTCTGCTGAGTGAGACGGGATCAGGAGTATCACGACCATCAGTGTGTAAAGCCTCCACCAGTTGACTGCAATGTTAGTTCCCTTTCATTATTGTGTTGGCGTGCTTCCTTATCTTCTACAAACACACTTCCTCTCGTTCTGTATACGCTCAGGCAGGACTTTGTGCATGGGCGTGATTCAAGCTTGCTTTGTTGCTAATATTGATATGCTGTGCTATCCGGTGTTTATTCCATTAACTTTTGTAGTGTTTACTGTGAAACTGTGCTTCACTGAGGCATGAGGTTTTTCAGCTTTCCACTAACAGTGTCTGTCTGCGTCCCTTTGCCCTCAATGCTGCCCGTCAACTCAATTGAAAGACTAATAGACACAAAATGAGCTAAACCAGTTTGAAATGACCTTTCCTTTATTACCATTATATGAAAGCAGTTTGATCTGGAAGTGTTTCCTTCTGTTGTTTTGACAGTTTGCTCAGTTTTGCCCCGCCTTCACAGTAAGCAGAATGAGCCCGCAGAAAATGGTTATCTTTTGTAAAAATTGAAAGAGGAAATTCAATGTTTTGTAAAATCTGCTAGTATAGCATGTGTAACACAGAAATTGTATTGTTATCATGCCACACATAATTTAGTAGTTCCCTGATACCTTGCTACCCCATATTGTTTATTTACTTCCTTAAAAGGACAATGTCACCCTCATTTAGTCTTCTTTTTGTTTTGAGGGTGACTTAGCTGTGTTAGCTGAGGGAGGAGGCACTGCTGTTGTTAAAATATAATATGATGTGAGGAAGTTTCTCCACAGCTTATAAGACTTACGTTAACGTTATCTCATCCAACACGCAGGATTAGATTATGTCTATTTTTCTTACTTCTAGAGATGGACCTGTTTTAATGTAAAGATCGTTTTGTGTCCGTATACTTCCTGTTCCTGAGGAAGTGTCTGTATTTAAAACAGCTTTGAGGACAGCAGAATCATACACTTGCATATGGTTAATAGTGTTATTTTGTCATTGGTACAATAAGACAACGTAAAGTGCACCTATCATGCTATTTTTAGGCAATAGCATAGGTCTCAGATATATACAAATATATAAAAACATGTCTATGAAGTGTTTCGCTCAAAATACCAAACAGATCACCCATTCTAGCCATGCTTCATATCCCTCGATTTCACTTCCTGTTTCAAAAGTGCTGATTTGGGGTATAAAGCTTTTTAAAAAAGAAGGAAAAAAAGATTTAAAAAACGGAGTGGGCTGAGCTCATGCGGGACCCGGCAGCTACTGTCTAAACTAAATACTGCCGTGATGAAACGCCATATCATGGATTATCAAGGATTATTTCTGAAACATTATGGAGCTCAAAGGCTTTCTCTCTTGCCGGTTATACCACAAAGTGAGTTCCTTTTTTATATCCAGATTCTTCACACACATGCTCTCCAGTACAGGTTAGCTCTGAGTGTTAGCGATGCTAATGTAAACACTGACCATATTACGTCCAAAACAGTCGGGCATTGTTTCTGATAGCAACTTTCTGATAGTGCCGTGGGTCCACATTTCCGATATTACGTCATATCGGACGCATACTGAATCAGCTCCGTTGTAGCCTCGTTTTTAGAGATTTGGGTACGGAAGAAAAGAGAGAGGGTTTTATTTTCTGATGCTGCGTGAGTTCCCTGACACACCGGGGACACATATTTATGTATAAAAAAAAAATTAAAAAGGGCATTTTTTTAATGATAGGTCCCCTTTAATGTTTGGGCACAATACAAGTGAAATGTATTCAATCTCCTTTTATGGTGACGTTTTAACAGTTTTCCATTCTGTCGACCTAATGCTGTGTAGGTCATCGTAAATATTCTGCACTACAAAATCATATTTCTCATGTTTTCTTGAACTGTCCTCTGAAATTGTAACATTTGTTTGTTCTTCCCATGGAAATATGCTGTAGCAGACTCTGCTGAAACCTTGAAAAATTATCTCACTTTTTTCATCCTTTTTAATATATGGGAGAGACAAATGTTACTTCTATGATTTTGCATGGCGTTTCAACAAAAAACATTGACTATCCTGGAATATATTAAATGTGTAAGATCTTTGAAATCCGACTCAACATCCAACAACCTTCAGGTCCGATGAGGAGTGTGTGTTGAAGCTGTAACTCTATATGACTGACCCTTGAACTACTGTACTGTGAGTGTGTGTCTCCCCCTGTGTCATTATCCTGCCGTTGTGTCTTCAGATATCTGTCTGCCTCAGCCACTCTGGATGACATTTCCCGCTCTGAAGCGTGAGTTGACTCCTTTCTCTTTTGTGTTCTTGTAGTTGATTTAAGATTTCTTTAAATTTGGTTTCCCTTTTTGGAAATTATTCTCCTTTTCATTTTTGCCTATCCATCATTTTATTTTTGTTTTCCTTTTACTGTTGTGATGGTGAGGGTGTTTGTGGCTGTTGAATTTGGGAACGTCTTTTTCTGTTCTATGGTGGAAGACTCACAACAATGCCTCTAAAGACAAGTTATTCATGTTGTACTTGGATTAGCACTACATCCAACACATTTTGAATTAACACTGCTAAAACTTCAGTAAGTATCCTTTAGTTTCATTTTAGTGTGTGTAGGTACTGATATTTGCACCATCTGTTGCTGAGACTTGTGTGTTTGGGTGGATCAGCTGATCATGATGTTGGCTTCTACCCATAATGTGTGTATGTTTTATTGTGTGTGCATTCAGCCAGGGAGGTGGGGTTATGTCATCCTTTTGGTAGCTTTTGCCAGTTTAGATGTATTGGATTGGGTGATTGCTTATGTGCATATTTCTGATAAATGTTCTGAAATGGGTGTCTTTACATTACATTACATTACATTGCATTTAGCTGACGCTTTTATCCAAAGCGACTTACAATAAGTACATTCGACCAGGAAGACACAACCTTGAAGAAAACAGAATCATATAAGTACATCAGGTTTCATAGAGCCAAACATTTCAAGTGCTACTCAACTGGCTTTAGGTAAGCCAGTCCTTTATTAGTATAAAAGTGCTTTGTTAATAGTTCTAACGCTCGAAGTGGAGTCGAAAGAGATGAGTTTTCAGTTTGCGCCGGAAGATGTGCAAGCTATCTGCCGTCCTGATGTCAATGGGGAGCTCATTCCACCATCTTGGAGCAGGACAGTCTTAGTGTGTGTTTAACCACACCTGGCCACTGTGTTAAACCCAGTAACACTTGTGGATTCCCAGATGGTGATACTACCCCATAGTATCCACTAACCTTAAGGAGTAGTGCAATGTTTTAGGGAACGGATAACTAATATCGGCTTTGTGGTGAAAGTGAGATGAGAAGGCTCACACCACTCTAATGCATTGAGCTATAAAGGAGGTGTTGGCTGTTAGCTTAGCTTATTTTAGCATGAGAACTGGACAGCCTTCATCCCCTGCTTATTTGTTTACTTTGAGTCAATGAGTGGTAAAAGCAAAGAATGTCCAGAGTGTCAAACTATTTATAAAAAAAAAAAAAAAAAAAAGAGCTTTATTTCCGCAAACTCAGATTTTAAAATCTTGTTATCACTTTTAGATTTAAAGGTGCGGGGGTAGGTAAGTTTGAGAAACCAGCTCGAGATAAGGAGGGGCTCTGTAAGGAAGTGTATTTTCAAATTCCAGCGCACTCGAGCTGGTTTCTCCAAAATTACCTACCCCACCTTTAAGGTTACTCAAGGTCAGTTTAAATTAAAAGAGCAACCTAACACCAAGCTGAAAAACATATTTGGAGATCTGACCACACAGCCGTGGATACCACTTACCTTTCACTTAAGGTTAGGAGATATGGCCAACTTTCATCTATGAAATGCATTGGAAATGTTTTTAGGACTTTGTGTGCAACACAGTTAAGCATTCATAACTAAACACCTGCACCACATGACAGCTTTATTTGGAGCCGTTTATCACCTGCAGCTTGTCTCTCTCCGATGGCAACCTTTCCCATCATTTTTAAACAGCTTTTAATACTTTCGCCTTAAATCATGTTTGACAACACTTTGTACATCCTACTTTATTGGAAGCTTTACCCATAATAACAATGGTTTTCCAGCTGTTGTTATCTTCAGTAAGAATTAAGAAAAGGGGGAGTGCCATAGACTAAATTAGGTTTTTACTAATAGGACAAGGGCCAGACTGAAATATAAAAATAAGAGTCAACTTTTATTTATTCAAATGTATTTTGCATTTCAAGAGTAGTCCAAATGAAATGAAGTCCAAATTCTAAGAATAAAGTCAAACTCAAAAGGACTGGTGCCAGGATCAGTACGAATAAATCAAAAGTTATTTTCTCTTTTTGCATTTTGAGAATAGTCTTAGGCCCCGGCCACACGAGGACGAAAACGGTAGTTTGCGTTACTGTTTAGTGTCATATAGACCGTTCGGCCACACGAGGACGACCGAATACGGCACTAAACGACTGCGGAAACGATAACGGGTCCCAAGGTGGATAGAACGGCATACGCAACGCTCTGGGGGGTCCAACGGCTCCGTGTGTACGCCCTATACGAACATGTTCTGATAATGATGAGGCAATAGCCCCGCCTCTCCCCACCTCTGCTGCTCACCCCCGCGTCAAAGTAAACTGCACACTGAATTCAGATTATTTATCTTTCTCTCGATATGGACATAAACGCGAGTGAAGTCTAATCTGACAGGACGGAGACACCTCTCAAACTACCTAAACCTACTACCTACCTAGTTATAAATATGTTTATTTTTACTGTCGGCCGGGTCACTCATTACTGGATCAGCTGCTGCATGAAACAGACACTGGCGCTGTCCGAAGAGAGGGAGGAAAAAGAGAGGCTCCGTGTATTTTATTATTATAATATATAGATTCGTTATTCATTTGTTTTAAAGCTCAATAAATAACAAAGAAGACCTTTGACCGGCACTTCTATAATTTTGTCGGAAGATTTCAACTTTAATACACGTTGATTGGTGAAAAACTCTGCCCGGTTCCCTCGGCCCCCACCGCGGAGAATAAACAGAAGGGCAACCATGACAACCATGCTTCTTCGCTGCTTTTGTGGAGGAAGTTACAGCGCCACGTACAGGCTCCTGAATATGTACTGCAGCTTCTCCAGCGGTTGGAGCTAAACGGAGCTGTCTCGTGTGGACAGACACTATCCGGTGAATATTGCGTGTGGACGGAAGCTTTTTTGCGTTTGTGTTAATCCTATGCGTTTAGCCGTTTTCGTCCTCGTGTGGCCGGGGCCTAAATGTTTTTGTTTCAAAGGATAATTCGACTCAATTTACAGAGTTTAATAAACCACTATGACAGTTGGATTGTGATAGTCTTTCGAAGTACTGCTTGTATAGTGATACTTGGTGTATTACCACACCCTTAGAGATGTGTCTGAATGTTTGATTTCTTCATCATGCACTCTTCCATTGCGCTGAAATGTACACCATCCGGTCCTTGGCTGCATTGGGACATGCTGAATCATACCTGCCATTAATGCTGATGCTCTCTGCACGTGGGGGTATCTCTGGAGGAATTGACTAACACTCGTACACAGAGTAGATGATGAGAAAAGGAATCTTCAGTTTTATTGGCAAAGATGACTTTTTTCCTTACACTCACATTGTTGGCCCTTAGTTGCTGTGGCCTAAATTCCTGTGACTGTATTTCTCTGTGAATACTAACCATTGGCACGGTAGATACTACGCTGTGTGTTTAAGCTGTAACCTAAATCACTGTTAGCTTTTGTTTGTGTGTTTTCTGTGTCAAATGGTTTGCTCTAATTTACCTCTGTCTTTTCACCCTCCTGTCCCTCCCCTCTCCCTGCTTTGTTTTCCTACACTTGATTTATTTCTGCTCTATATCTGTCTTTTTTTTTTTTTCTCTGTCCATCCTTCCTCCTTATTACTTCCTGTGCCTCCTGTCCTTTTTCTTTCTTCCCCCCTCGTTTTCACCATCCAAATCTTCTTTTTCATTTCACTCCAACCATCTGGCCTCCTCGCCGCATTCCTCGTTTCTTGTATCCATCGTTCTCCTTCCATTCCCCTGTTCCCATCTTCTCTCTTTCCCACCGTCCCTCCTCCTCCTCCTCCTCCTCCTCCTCCTCCTCCTCCTCCTCCTCCTCCTCCTCCTCCTCTCCTCCTCCTCCTCCTCCTCCTCCTCCTCCCTCCTCCTCCTCCCTCCTCCTCCTCCTCCTCCTCCTCCTCCTCCTCCTCCTCCTCCTCCTCCTCCTCCTCCTCCTCCTCCTCCTCCTCCTCCTCCTCCTCCTCCTCCTCCTCCTCCTCCTCCTCTGTGCAGATACAAGAAGACTCAGGAGACTCTCTCCCAGGCGGGACAGAAGACCAGTGCAGCTCTCTCCACAGTGGGCACGGTCCTCAGCAGGCGACTGGGCGACATGAGGTACGGTGCAGCAGAGCCAAAATGACCGACTCACTGGCAAAGCTACAAGAAAAAATGAGCAAAGTGGACGGTATTAAAGCAGAGAGGTAAAAACACAGATCTATATTTGATTAACCCTTGGACAACAGGGTGAAACAGAAGTTTAGAACTGTTGACAATACGGCAAGATAAAATAGTATTTTAGAAACATGAAAAAAAACTGGTTTTGAGAAACTAAAATATGCTCGCTGGAATACTCCAATAAAAAACAAAAGATCAATGAAACAAAGACAGATACCTGGATAATGCCCAAGTATTGTATAGATGTTGCTAAACAAACAGATCATTCTGTCTTACGTTCCACTTTATTTCCCAAAAAGTGTCAAAACAACGATAAACTGGTGATTTTGAAAATGAATTATAATTTGGTGACTGTCCACTGCTCTTTTTTTCTTGAAGCATTGAATTTCTCTCACGCTGACCAGTGATCAGCTTCTTCTCCTCTAACCTCGACTAGTAGTGCCGTAGATATTGAGCAGAACCGGCTCTAATAACACTAGTCTCTGTTAAAACTACATTTGTTTATTTGAACAGTTGTATGTCATGAAATGTCATTGAACTAACTCCAAAGGGGTGGTTCAACAAGATTAAGAGTTGGACGTCTTTTGGCATCAAATACATCGTTTAAGGGAAGGTCTACCGCTATGTCTCGGAGTCAAATCCCAGATGCTACATTTGAATTTCAGCCACTTGAAACGCTATCTTTGTCTCATAGTTGGACCACCCCTTTAATGTAGAATACTTTTTCACCCTGGAATCACGCTTTGTAGGACTTTTATTTGACTTCAAACTGCAGATTTCTATAGACATTTTGATGTCCATCAAACGTGAGAAAACATTTGTTACAAACACTGTTAAGTTCTGCGTCAAAGCAACAACTTCTTAAAGTGTGATTAAGGGGTGAGATAGAAAAAACGTTGGCTCTGGAAAAACAAACCGACCGAGTGGAAATGCACTAACCCTTAACTCATTAACATCTCACATCTCCGATGGCTCTTTGTCGACTTGCACAACTGTGTGTGTGTGTGTGTGTGTGTGTGTGTGTGTGTGTGTGTGTGTGTGTGTGTGTGTGTGTGTGTGTGTGTGTGTGTGTGTGTGTGTGTGTGTGTGTGTGTGTGTGTGTGTGTGTGTGTGTGTGTGTGTGTGTGTGTGTGTGTGTGTGTGTGTGTGTGTGTGTGTGTGTGTGTGTGTGTGTGTGTGTGTGTGTGTGTGTGTGTGTGTGTGGCCCTTAATACCTCGGAGGCAGATGGCATGACTACTTGGTACTAAAACTGTCCTCTGATCTCCAGTTAATGCAAACTCAAACGTTTTCTTGATAAATGCAGTAAAATGTCCATTTCCAATCAATAAAGCAACAACGTTAATCAGCTATGAATCGAAGTCAACCTTAAGAGCTCTCTTAATGGGTATGCTTTGATTGTGAACAACCATCAGAAGGTGGTCAGTATTATTGTCTGTCGATCAACATCGATTAGGAGAAAGAACCTGAATTATTTAGAGTAATAACACATCACATCTGCACAAAATAAATACAGCAGCATAGTGATGACCCTTTATTTGGAATACATTCACCATGTGAGCAGCTGCTGTTGTTGGCTGCATGGTATTCAACTGTCTTTTATGGCAAATTGATTTCATTAATGTAACTTCATATTCAGATTAGGAAAAACGATATCTTAGCTTGTTTCACCTCCAATAGGATTTCTAAATAATCATGAAAGAAGCGGCGTTCATATGAACCACAGAAGTGGTCCTGGTGTCCTTAGCTACACACACATCCCTGCTCCTGCTGATGACTCTCTCTCCTGTGTGTCGCCTGTTGTTGTTTTCATTTTGTTTCCTGACGCTTTTTGCTAATGCCCTCTTCTTGTTTTTTTATTGCTTCCTTGGTTTGACCTGCAGAGCTCTTCCTTTCTCTAATTCCTTTAGGTAAGACTAACATGTCCGACTAAAAAAACAGTCATGTGGCTTGAAATGTGTCATACGCAATTGTTTTAATTCCTCAAAGGTTAAGCTCTGCCTTTTTTTTTACTAATAATACTTGATAATACTAATAATAATGACTTGCATTTTTTTTTGTTATCCTCAATTATGTTATTCCCTTAGATTACCTGAAAGTAATTCAGTTTTGTTTACAGTTGTTAAACTATCCATTTGAATAATATTTTCATTTGTAATTAAAGTAGGGCTGTACCAACGAGTTTGAAGCTGCGTTTATATAAGAATGCAGACTAGTTAGAAGATTAGTTTCAAATAGTTTCAGACCCGTCACTCGTGTGATAACCACATTACCAATGACTCCTGAGCGTTATAAAGTTTACGTTTAAGTCAAATGTATTTAAAGAAGGTAGATGTTTATCATTTAAAAAGTTCAAAACATGTTTTTATCTTACAAAATATTCAGCTTGAATCCATATTAGCCTTTCAAAAACAGCTAACCTTTATTAACAATCGTACTGCACCCGTCAACAGAGTTTCTTATAACACAATAACGATACATTCATTCATCTTTTAACACTTTTTGAAGTGTAATGACTTTACAAAATATGACAACAAATTCAAAACTTTCCTAGAAAATGTTGTTATAGACATCGAGTGTTAAAAAGGCATTTGGTACAGCCCTACTTAAAGTGTATTTGAATAAGAAATAAAACAATACGTCAAGCTAACTAATAACCACCGACAGCAGTGTGTGTGTGTGTGTGTGTGTGCGTGCGCTAACACTTGCACTTCTGTCTCCTCTCTTTAACGCTTACAAAGTAGCAACTATTCCATTCGCCACTCGATAAGTATGCCCGCCATGAGGTAAAGTAACACCAACCTGTCAGACTGTAACACACATTGCTTTTATTAAAGAACTGTATTACTGCACTGCTGCCGCCTTTCTAAATGTTCTTTATCTGTTGATGTCAAAGCTTGTTTTGTTAGCGGTTGCTTGGCCTGATTTCTCAACTGAGATTTTTTAAAGTTGAGTTTACTTAAATACTGAGTGAAATGAGAAGATCTTTCAAACACTTTCCTCACAAGGGTATTGCCAAATGTGGTTATATTTGTCACCAGCTTTTGACGGCATTCAATTGTATATAAGTATGTATTTGTTATTTGCTTGTGATGTGTTGAATGTGTTGATCTGCTGGGAAAATGTTGATTTTTACTTTGGTCATCTTCTGCATTATTTAATTTAAAAATGTTCTATTTTTGTGTTCCTTACATGGGTTGGGGAAACTAAGAAGGTTTTTTAAAATAATGAAACCCTATTCTAAACAACACGTTGTGTCAGTTAGTGTGTGGCAGTATTACTATGGCTGCAGTGAAGCATTAAACCAATCATTTTTTATTTAACTAGTCATTTTATGAGCAGATATACTTCTCTACAAAATATATCCTGATGCAAAGACTACAAAATGAAAAACACACGTTTAATTGCTCTTATTTGATTTTGTGTTTCATTTAGCGTCTATGTGTTGCCGTCACCAGCTGGAGTGTCCTGTTAGCTTGCCTTTTTACTTGTCTTGCTGATGCATGTAACATCGTGCGTGTGTGTATTTTGTGAGTGTAACATCGTGTCTGTCCTGCAGGAACTCTGCAACCTTCAAGTCCTTTGAGGACAGAGTGGGGACCCTGAAGGTGAGAAGACTGTTTTCAATTTAAATAATAAACATATTTTTTAAATAATTAATTAATCATGAAAGTGATTATTCATGCAGAAATTGTGTTTGCAGCCTCTCAGATGTGGAGACTTACTGATTTTCTCTGTTTTTATATCATAATAAACGGAACATCTTCGTGTTTTGGACTGATTAAAACAAATACTTTAAATGGCAAAACATTGGGTAGACTTTTTAAAATGTATTTTTCCAGTTTCTGACTTAAAGACCGAGCGCTTCTTTAATACTCTAAAACCAAATCAGCAGATTAAAAAGGAAAATGACCTTAATTTGCAGACCTATAGTGTATGCATTCTATCTCCTTGTCCCTTCTCAGATGTGTGTTATTGATCTCAGGATAGGCGTCTCTGTACGTGGTCAAAGTGTTTTCCCCCGACAGGAAACAGAAACTGATGAGTCAGTATATTAGCGCTGACGATCAATAACACTCTCTCTTTCTCTCCCCCCTCAGACTAAGGTTGTCGGCCCCAGAGGAAACGGAGAGCCCGTCACCCCCACTGACACCACCCCCACTCAGGAGAACCCGCCTTTCTGAATGCATCCCTCCTCCTCCTCCTCCTCCTCCTCCTCCTCGCTGCCACCTTCCTCACGACCTGAGACTGTACTGTTAACACCTCACATCGCTGACCCTCGACCCTCCACTGCACCAACTCCACTCTCTTTGCCCTGAGGTCTGTCAGCGCAGACGGGCAGGACTCGTGGGGTTGAGGTGGGACGAGCTTCCCATCGCTGCTGGTCCCACGGTCTCCATTCCCCCGCCTCGCTGCGGGGGGAAAGGAAAATGTTTTGTTGATGTCTAAACCTGAATCATTTACATCTTCACCCTATTAAGACCCACATTTGTTAGCTCAAATAAGTTGCCAGACACCTTTTTTCAAACAGGTTGCTTCTGCAAATCACCTGGCTTACAAAAAGGCATTATTAAGATGTCAGGCTCCTCAACTAAATGACAAACTTCACATTTAATTCTTAGATGCATCTCTGCAGCAGTATCCAAAATCACAGAGTTTAAGAAGCAGGACATCTTTAGACTGAGGGTGGTGGAGCACTTTACGGGCATACCTAAGATGGTGGCGTATACTGCTACTATTTCTGTCTTCTCGTTTCTGACTACTATCGTGTACTTTAAATAATGCATTCACACTGTGATCACATGCTAGTGTCACCACAGTATCCCTCACCTTCTTTCAAACTTGTACAGTTACCTTCACGACCCGCAGTGTGAACGCAGGCTACACTCGCAGGTCAGCGTGCACACCCCCCCCCTCCCCACACTTTAGACCTTTTACTGCTACATGCATGTGCATCTCATCTCAGTTGTACCATACCGACCAAGCAAAGAAGACCCTTAAAAACACACACACCCAGGATGTAAAAATAAACCGTAAACCATTTTGTATTACAAACTATTTTACACTGCTTTGCATAATGTTTTTACATAACTTTTATCAATATGTATACATATATATGAATAAATATATTGTCACTGATACTGCCGTATGGTGGAAATCAGGTTCGGGGGGTTTAGGCAAAAATGCCGGAGGAGGAGAAACACTTAAAACAAACACTATGGGTCAGTTTCACAGGCGTGAGTTATTGTCAGTCAGGAGGTTTTTCTTTAAACACGTTTTAAATGTTTGTGAAACTGAGCCATTAACAGGCTGCAGTCTACTAATCAGACGAGAAGACACATAATCAAACCGGTTTCATTTAACAACATGAATCTGGATGCTAGCGCCGTGATTTGCAAGTGAAACTAAGACCTCCGGTCGGAAGTGAAACTACCTTGACTGTGTTTCTTCTCTGCTCTGGTGTGACCGCTGTTCCCTTCATGTTAACACACAGAACTCAATGTGAGACGATGCTTTGCTCTGTACACTACCTGGTGAATGTCAACGCTTCTCTATCGGACTTATTCACTTTCAATGGTTCACCTGTTATTATAAGTTAGCTGGTAGAAAAGAGGTGTTTTTTTTTCTTTGTTTGTGTTCCTTTTTAAAAATTGTACAGACTGGTTGGATTGAAGGAAGGGGAGTAAGGGTTGTTTAGAGTCCGGCGGGCCACAACATGTGTCATGAAAAAATCTAGCTGCCATAGAAGAAACTTTGCCAACAACCCCTTAATGCACTCCTGTTAACACACGAAATGCCCTGATCGCGCTCACACACTGTGCATTAAGCCAAACTCACACTGTACCAAATCACTGTTGCTCTGATTGGTTTGCCCCTGAAGGTATAAAGCCGAAGCTCTTACAAACTGGCATTAAACCTGAAAGCGCAGAGATGTGCAGCACTGTCACTTTTCTCCTAAAAACAACAAAGTTGTGGGTGTTTTTTTTTTCAATAAAGTTGCAGATTCAAAGGCAACAATGCCTCTGGAGGTTTGACAAAATGTAACACTCCTATTAGTTAAAGTTCCAAGCCAAAGAGACGGGGCAACTCTCAATTAAAACTGCCAAAATGAGTCTGAATTGTAAGTCAATCTCAAGTTGTTGTTGTTGTCGAGGATGATCATGTAAAAATGTTCTCAAGGGAATTAAGATTTTTCCATGTTGCCAAAAAATTGTAGAAATGGTTTCTCTGGCATCCTCACTGCAATGTCTCAAGTAATCTTGTGTCGACGCATTTTATTGAGCTGGTAAAAAAGGTGAATTCTGAGCTGTTATATACCTTAATATTTTGGAAATCATTCAAGGATTCACGAGAAAACTTCCCAGCTTGTAGTCTAACAAAAAGAGCAGAACGTTTTTTTAAAAGACATAGAAACAGTTCTCGGTGAAGGAGCTGGGCTTCAAAGAACAAACATTAAATACAAATATACAAACTGCTTGTAAACAACTTTCGGCTTCAAAACTGCTGCCAGTTTATCTTAAATGTTTTTCATTGCGTTGTGTGTTGCTCATTTGGTAGGTCATATATTACTGTTGGGTGATTTTCTGTTTTCTTGTGGCTTTCCTTCTGTTTGGAGAGGTGTACTCTGTTATTTGTACAAATTATTTGCCATCAGTTAAAAAAAAAAGTTGCCAATATTTAAATATCTGTTACAAAAATCTTTCTCTTTCTGCCTCTGAATATCTGGAGTCTCTGACTTTCTGCCTCTGAATATCTGGAGTCTCTGACTTTCTGCCTCTGAATATCTGGAGTCTCTGACTTTCTGCCTCTGAATATCTGGAGTCTCTGACTTTCTGCCTCGCCAAGATACAAAATGTCGTTGCACACTATAAGGAATATTGATCTCAAGTCATTTACTACAGGATTTACACATAACATATTTGTCATGAAGAAAGTAGAGGGCATACTTGATGCTCCCTGTCGGGCAATGATCCCACTTTGTATAGGAAAAATAAATCCTAAATTAAATGACTTGAGATGATTGTTTGTTTTACAGTGTAGCTGTTGCCTGTTTATTGCTGCATTCAGTTTTGTGAGCCTGACGGAAAATGATGATGGTCTTTTGTTTTGGGTGCCAATGGGAAGTGCAGCACATGACGAGCGTGCTTGGAGAGGACACTAGACTTATAGCTTTATTTAGGTCCTGGGCCTAGCTGATGTAGAATATGGAAAGGGATCAGATTTGGAAAACTGGTGAATTAATTAAAAAAACATTTGGTTTTGTTGTATATGTTTGGATATCAATAAAGCATTCCTTTAAATGAACAGTGTGTCACATATGTCCTTGAAATGTACTGAAGGTAATACAACATTTACAATTTACTTTGTTGGAACATTTTCCGCACTTTACTCTTATCTTTTTTTCGTTTCCTTGTACAGCCAAAATTCAAACAAAAATATTTACTCTTCTTGTTAATTTTGTTTGTATGTTGAGAAAGACCTTAACTTTTAGCTCTGTCTGATTTTAAGGGGATTTGTTTCAAGCAGTGGCCAATTGTACACCGCTTTACCTAAAAATGCAACAATTGGCACAAAGTTGCATTTATTAATTTGCATTAGAAGCATTATAGAGTTTTTACTGTTATCACACGTTTGCTGGTGTTCAAGTCGTACCTTGAGTTATGATGATGAATGATTATATTACAATATATAGTTTGTGCATTATGCCTTTGCTCGGTGGGTTTAAATCAAAACTGTATGTAAGAAGACAGTAGTAAATCATGCAAAACCTTTATCCATGTAACATTACTTCACATTTTGTAATACAGTGTTCGATACTTGACAAATGGTAAGTTAAACACGAGATAAAAACGGTAGTTCCCTGACCGGGAATCGAACCCGGGCCGCGGCGGTGAGAGCGCCGAATCCTAACCACTAGACCACCAGGGAAGGATGAGGGCGCTGTTTCATGTGAAGATTTAATAAGGACACAAACCTAGACGTCTGAACATATATTGATTTAGCATCAGGATGCACAAAGTCAGTCTGGAGTGAACTGCCGCGATATGTCATGCTTTTCCGGTTATTACCCGTCCCCTTGTGTGTTATGAAGGTTTTTATGCATGTAAACGGTGTGCAGAGTCAAAACCCTCAAAGTACACCCTGTAACGAGTAAACTCTAATACAGAAAATACCTCCCCAAAACACCTCGTTGGTGAAACGTCATCATCCATTTGATTCTTCCGGGGACATCTGATGTCGGCCCAATCCCAAACCACTCCCTCGACCGTACCCCTCCGTGATGGAGTGAACTCTGTCTGTAGCCACACTCGCAGCTCAACGAGGCTCCCTCCTGTCAGATGGAGGGAGTAAATATAGCAGCAAGCTTTGGGACGGCCTCCCCTCTCTCCGGCAGAAACAGGAAATGCCGTAACTGTATGTAACAACGGTTTCAAATCAGCATCTCTTAGACAAAAAGTTTAAATTAATAACTCAAATAAAACTCCAAACATCTTTCATTGTGTTTCAAAGCTCTTTTAGTTTTAAACCTGATGTTTATAAGCTTCTTAGCTTTTGCAACGGTCTGTAAATATACACAACTTTATAATAAAATGCACAATTTTACCTTTTTCTAGACTAAACACAGGTATGATCCTACGTTAAAAACATATGAGGTCATCATGAGGTTGTTAACATCGCAGTTTATCAGTGGATGTTTGCTGGAACTAGGCTACTTGTAAAGAGCGTGTTTCCTGACGGACACACACAGCGGGACTCCGGAGTGGTTAAGGCGATGGACTAGAAATCCATTGGGGTCTCCCCGCAGGTTCGAATCCTGCCGACAACGAGTAATGTTTTGGCTTTACTTTGACCAGATATAGGTCGATGTGTTGCAAATCATTTCTACAATACACAAAGACAGAAGTATGATATCATAGTGTAGACATGACAATCAACACATTTTAAGTTTTAAGTTTCGTTTGGTTATTGGGTACAGAACAGTGCTGGAATTGGGCCGGTACTCACCGGTACGCAGTACCGGCACTTCTGGTTCTGACCCATGGAGTACCGGCACTTCTTGCTCAGTACCGGCATGCTGGCGGTACTCCGGTACTCATGCACCGTGCCAGTACTCAACACTCTCCCGCCGTTCTTATTATACATCCATATATATATATACAGCCGCCCGGTACTCAGTAGATGCGTCATGAGGTGCCGAACGGACATTCTCATCGCTCTAACCGCTGGAGTTTCACAGCGGCTGTCAGCTGTTTACTCCTGTCATTCAAACAGAACGTGCTGGAGAGGGGGCGGGGCTTATCTTCTCCATGTAAATACTGTGGTGGAAACGACTATGTCAAAATTAACCTATTTGACCGTGATTTAATAGTAATACACGTTTCAAAATAATAATAATAATAATGCCGAAGTAACAACATACTGAAAACTGTTAGTAAAACCATGTTTTAATGCTTTACAATTTACATACCTAGATGCACGTGTGTTGTGTTTATGCAGTGCAACTCCCACCCAGTGGGTGGCTATGTAGAGTGATAGAACAGAGCAGGCACGCCCCCGAGAGAAGGAAAGCAAGTCACGTCACAAATTAGCATTTCTAAAATGTTAGCGTGGATTAATAAAAGTGCAAAAAGACAGCGGTTGTCGCCGGAAGAAACTTCAAATACAGAGAATGCTGTGCCTGTGTTGGAAATTGTGTCTGATGGGGAGCTTTCTTTGGTTGATCCTCCTGCTCCAAGTTCTAGTGTATTAGCATTAGCACTAGCTCCGCCGCCTCCTCCAGAGCCTCTAACGTTAGCTGCTGCTGGCGCAACTGCCACCACCAACACCGGGCAAAGCGATGCACCTGACTGCTGGACAACGGACCAGGTGCAATATGTTTGCAAGACCAATGCATGGCTCCTTCTTAAAGATAAGAAGCTAGGATGTCGGATATGCAGAGATGTCAAATCTTTGGGAATACACACTGGACAAGGACTGAAACTGTCAACTGAATGGGGTGAGTGTGCAGTGTCTCATTTCGGTGTTGACAAGGGCAAACAACAAGCTAGCCTGAGAAAAAAAATCAAAGAACATAAAGAATCACAAGCCCATGTAAAAGCTGCTGACATCCTTACATCTGCTTCATGTGAAACTATTCAACATCAAGTGCAGTCTATGCATACATCTGAATTAGACACCACTATCAGAGTTTTTCGAAGGGCATATACAATTGGCAAACATAGCCGGCCATTCACAGACATGCCAATTGATTTGAATGTACAGAAACTGAATGGGCTGAACGTGGGCAGGGTTTTGCACTCCAATAAAACCTGTGGCGAAATCATCGACCACATAGCTCATGAGCTGAAGAAAAAAATGGCAAAAGACATTACAGAAAACCAAAGAAAACTCTGTGTTTTGGTCGATGAATCTACCACTATTAGTGGTAAAACGGTGCTTGTTGTGTGTCTACGCTCAGCATTAGCTGATGCTGAGCCCGAAACGTTTTTTTGGGAGCTGATCGAGTTGGATGGAACAACGGCTGATGACATCACAAAGGCGTTAATGGAGTGTCTTGGAAGAGATTTTAACGAGGACTTTTTAGGTCAGTGTTTCGTTTCTTTTGCATGTGATGGGGCTTCAGTCATGCTAGGGAAGAGAACAGGCGTTGCTACCCAGTTGTGTAGTAAATTCCCAAGCCTGTTTGTGTGGCACTGCTCCAATCATCGTCTAGAGCTGGCAGTTGGGGATGTGGTCAAGGAGGTCTCAGGGCTCAATCATTTCCAGATCTTTTTTGACAAACTCTATTCCTTGTTCCATGCCTCCCCCAAAAATCAGAGGCAGTTAGCGCAGTGTGCGCAAGCAGTCGGACAGCGTCTCCTGGTGATAGGGCGTGTTTTGTCCATCCGCTGGGTGGCTTCAAGTGAAAGGAGCGTCAGAGCAGTCTGGGAAAACTACCGAGTGCTTCATGATCACTTCACAAATGCTGCAAACGACACGAGCAGGGATTCCAGAGACAGAGCAAAGTACAAGGGCCTGGATGATGTGCTCACATCTGCAACGTTTGTCAGCAATCTGGGACTGATGTACGATGCGCTCACAGAGCTTAGTGACCTCTCTCGGCAACTCCAAAAAAGAGAGATGACACTGCCTACAGCAGATAGGCTCTTAACTCGAGAAATACGAGTTTTTGAATCCATAGTCACCATGCCTGGCCCACACATGACTACAGTTCATACAGCTCTAGCTGAGAAGTCCTTCAAGGGTGTTGCCCTGCGTGAGAATGGCAGGCTTGTACAGATTCATGCAGGTCAGTTTTTCCGCAGTATGGTAGAGAATCTGAGACACAGAATGACTTCCACAACCTCCTCTCATGTCAGCACAAGAGAAATCCCATTACATGGCCGGGAGGCCCGGGACAATCAGCTAATCCAGGACATGAAAGTTATCCATCCTGGAAGTTGGCCTGAAGAGGAGTTAGACGTACAGTATGGGGACGTAGAGGTGCTACGTTTGTGCGAAGTGCTGAAAGTGGACAGAAGAGAGACTGTTCAGGGCTTTCGCGAATACAAGGAAACCAGGGCATCCCGTACACCTGCTGCCATGGAGCCTCTACTGAAAGCAGTCCGAACCATCGCTGTCTCCACTAGTGAGTGTGAGCGGGCATTCAGCTGCATGAACGATATCCTTACTGCAAAAAGGAATGCTCTCTCTGTCAGCCGACTGTCCAGCCTGGTTTTCATTAAATGTAATGGACCATCACTAGGACAGTTCAATCCGGAACAGTATATGAGGTCCTGGCTGGCAAAGGGAAGGAGAAGTGCTGATGAAAGAGCCTGTCCAGCTCCAGCCCCTGATACTGATGTCCCCAAGGCCTTCTGGAGCCTTTTCTAACAATGTGAAGTATATTGCAAAGCAGCTCACCCAGTGAGAAGACTTTTGGCATAATGTGCCGATTTGTACAGATCCTGGAGATAGAAGGACTTCAGACCAACCAGGGAGTTATCTGATCAGCTTGGTGTTCAATGTAACTCTTTACCATGGCTCAGACTTTGTTACTTGCAGTTACAGTTTCTCATTTTAGATTGTGCAAATTTTGCATTTGTTTTTACATGTTCTTTGTTCATGCTCTTTATCATTTTTCTGAGTTGGAAAGTTAGATTGCATCATAGTTTACTTTATACATATTTGTATTCTTCAGTGGTGAAGTATATTGCAAAGCAGCTCAGCCATGTGAGAAGACTTTTGGCACTTTTTCGTTTTTCGTTTTCTGAGTTGGAAAGTTAGATTGCATTCAAAATGTACAGAAATACTTAATTTTGTTA